TCAGAGATGTTCTGTGTCAGAATCAGAACCAGATCCCAAGCTTTATTTGCAGTCCCACATCTAGCAGCCTAGAACAGACAGTTTTTTTCCTATTACAGGCAATTAATTTATCCTCTCTGTCTATCTTCCTATCTTTAATATGGGAATTATAAAACCCCTTTGAATTCCAGTGAGGTAGGCAAGCATATCTTATGCTCAGTATATTGATGCTTTCATTTCCTGACTTGGAGTGGCCCATGGAAAGGTAATTTAAAATAAAGCTGGAACAGTTGTTAAAGTACTGATCCTGTGTGTCAGCTGTTTGAAAGGACATTAAGACAGAAAAAAGGGCTATCTCAGCAAACAGGTAGATGCTACCACAAACATACATACACAGTTTGCAAAAAGCTCTTTGTATAAAGCCATTGTTGGAACAGAAGGATATGATAGAGTTTCTGATCTTGAAGTATATGAGCACTGAGGTAAAAAATCTGCTAATAGTAGACTGGCAATCCAGAATATATTTCTGCTCATAACAGGTATTTTAAATTTAAACTGTTTTAGCAGGAGCCATTTTTTTCTTTTAGCAAAAGAACAAGGAGTCATGTAATCTCTGGGCACTTTTCCACGTGCTCTGGAAGTGGGGAGAGGGGTACAGTGCTTTAATTAAAATGGCTCCAAGAGCTGCTCTAATTAAAGCAGCACTGCATCTCGTCTGTCAGCACCCCCACACTTAAAAATGACAGCAGGGGCACTTGAACTAAAGCTCATTCAACGAGTGCTGTCACTGCCATTTTTAAGTGCAGGGATGTGATACACAAGACGCAGGAGGGTGCTGGAGCAAAGTTTTTGTCATGCTCCCAGCAGACTCGAGTCTGCTCCAACGCGCTGGACTTCCAGCGTTGGAGCAGCCTCCGTGCTCATGTATAGGCGCCCTCTTTGTTTACTGAGTTTTTTCAGAACTTCTGATACCAGTTCATGAAGGTCCCTTTGATGTAGTATAGTTTGTGAAAGTCTTCTTTAATGAACAGGAAAATTGTCCACTGTCATTGTGATGATGTCCTGTTACCTTATGCTGAAAGTTCTCTTGAGCCTTCATCAATTTGGTCTCCGTTTATCTCTAAAGAGACATCTCTTTGGAATCAAGCTTGAACTGTACCTGCTTCACTGCTGCTGCTAAGATCCAGTCCTGTTCAGCATAACAGATTTTAAGTTGACCCACCTTTCCCCAAACTCTGTTTGTTGTTATCTGTAGAAAGAAAATTGGTGGTCTAGCACGCTGCCTTCCAAATGTTTAATTTAAATTTTCCTAGTAGCACTGGTAATTTCCGCAGTATGAGTGATCATCTTTTTAAAAAAAGAAAATGTTTGTCCTATCTAATTCTGTCTTTTTAAGACCATGATCCAAGATTTCTGAATCCTATCTCTGGCTACTGTTGGTTTTGATTAAGTTGCTTACATTATTATTGCTGTGTAGAAGAGATTAGCCAAATCAATTTGGGAAGGGAACCTAATATTTTAATGTAGAATATAGCTATGATTTTTTAAAGGATTTCTAGATATATCAATGTAGCAAATTCAGCGGATAATTAAAAGACAAATACTACTACAAATGGGATAGTACTTTAGGTCCTTACATTGTTTAGAAAGGATTTGATGACAGAGACAATTACTGATCAGGATGCCTTTTCCAGAGAGCAAATGTTTTTCTGGTTATCTGGTTTAACAGTCCAGAACTTGGAGCTTATGATGCTTTAACCCTGAAGTGCATTAAAGATAAATTCTAAGTACATGCACTGTTCTCTTAGAAAATAAGGATAGAGCAGTGACTTAATAGCTTTCTTTCTGTTGTTTAATATTTTTCCAAGACATTCCTGGAGCTTTTTAGTCCCCAAGAATCAGAATCTATTATAATACACTGACAGAAAGTAATTTTGTTACCATAAGTAATTCTTGCTCTGTGGACTGGAGACATGTGAGAACATCCCAAATTCTCAGCTAGTACTTTATGCTTTACTTATCTTTGAGCAGATATACCTATTTAGAAATGCAGCCAAGGGAGCAGATTACTTTTTCCAGGTGCCCTGGATTATTAAATAACATTATTTTAGTATTTGAAATATTGTACAGCTGGAATGAATCTATATTAAGTAGAAGTGCTAGAAATGTCCTGAATTTTAAAAATATTAAATGTACAAGAAAACTCTATATCTGCAATTCTTTTTACTGTGTTGTAGGATTGAATAGTTCTCGTGTGTCCTCATGCAGCATATGTACTATTATAATTTCCTCATTACCTTCCTAAACAGAGTACAGCTTAAGTTCAAATTCATGTTTGTTGCAGCAAACAACACACAAAAGATAGGTGTACATTCTATACAACACAACACTTACAAACAAAAGCATACTTAAAAGCATCACTTTTAGGCAGGGATGAGAACTGTTAACTTATTACTTTGATGGAACGCACATTCATTTCTAGGCTTTGAAAAGTAAAGTGAGAGTAAGATTTAACAAAAAAAATAAAAGTTACAAATTTTAAGGAACACCCACAGACTTCCAAGGTGAAAAGAAAATAGTTGATAAAATACTGGTTTGAAGTTTTCCTTTTAGATTAACTTGCCAGTTTAGGAAGAGAAAAATTAGTTAACCCATGTACATTAGTATCTTCAGAAGTGTGTAAAAAGGATACAGAAGTTAAAACAGCTATGTGTTGTACAACCAAGGCTTTGTTAATTCTTTTTTAACTGATTTAAACATTCTTGTGAGCCCAAACAAAGCAGTCAGTTTGCTTTTTGTTTTTAATTTATTCACACCCGTAAGAATTTCAGCTTTTTTGCCTTAATTTAAAGCTCTTGTTGGAAAAAGATATTTTCAACTTATTCATGTCAGTATTCAGGGTGTTCACCTTTATCTTTAGTGTGATGTTTTTCCAGGCACTAGATTTTAATGCCTCACTAGTTACCGGATTCTGAAACTTTAGCTGATTAAGAGTTTTACACTTTTCAAATGTTCTTCCCTTATAAGCTTCAGTGCGTTTTTTATTTTTTGCATCCCTTTCTTAAAGCAGCATGCTTAGATGACATATATAAATGTTTCACCCTCCAGCAGGGGCTGAAAAATCCTTAAACCAAGCTCCTTCCACTCCCTTTCCTCCCTCCCATTCTGAAAACAGCTGGAGGCTGGCAGGCAGCACAGACAGAAGTTACAGAAGACACTCTTTTTAAACATCTTCATCTGACCCCTCATGCAACAAGGGTTCAGATTTTCACCCAACTGGCCAGTTTTACATTTGTCTGCAGCCATGCACTTGTGTTTGGTCACAGCTATAAACCACTTTATGTGACCAGATCAGGCAAAAATTGTCACTTCTGTCTGTGCCCAGTCCTTGAAGGACTGCTGCCTTTAATTTCGCCAAAGTCATCTTTTCCCATTTCTGCCCCCACATTCCAGCTGCTGTCTGATTACCCCAACTGGGTTGTTGTTCTGTAAAATTAATATGGAGGGACAGCCCTCTCCTTTTTTTTTTTAATTTTTAACTACTGTTTCCAATAGTTTATTCTGTTCTTGTACTTGTTGCAATATACCATGTGTTTGTGTTGGTTGCTGCTCTGCCAGTAGGGCACAAGTCTTCTAGTGTTCTATTGCTTGTGTAGTTAGTTTCTTCTAATTTCCTAGTTTTCTCTCTAATTCGCTCCATTAATTTAGTAGCATGCTGTTTTAGCCATATGGCCATACCCATAATTTGTAAAAGTCTACGTTTTTAACTTTTGTTATTATTCTACCATGACCCTGCATATTTTCCTCCAAATGTTCCCATTTTTTTTTCTTTAAACCTGTATGGACTGTCTTTAATCTGCTACGCATGCATCCTTACTTATTCAAATTGTGGGGTAATTTGGAGGGAAGGAGGGGACTACCTAACTTGGAATATTCTGCCTATACAGGTTGCAATACTGTAAGAGAGCAGTTTGCCACTTACCGAATCAGAGATCAGCAATACCAAGTGTTTTTCTGGCGTGTGTGCTGTTTGGGTGGCTTCTTGCTCACTGTTGTTCGTGGTGTTTAGGCTGCTGGTGTCTGTGTACTCCAAGAAGCCGTTGCCTGCAAGTGGCCTCCTCAAGCCTGGGTGCAAAGCAAAACAACTCGATTTCATGCCCAGTGGCAAAAAGCTCTGAGAGTTTTATTACCACTTGTATAGTAGACTAGCTAGTTTATTTAGTAATCAGCCCAACTCAGTGAAACTGTCCAGGACAATGGTAGTAAATGTGCATCTAATTAGCCCCCCTAATTTGCAACAAAGAACAAGTCTTGTGGCACCTATATTTATACTTGAGATTACCCAAATTATGTGCCAGGGTTTCTCTGTCCTTTTGCCAAGATGCTCATTTTTACTTGTTCCTTTGCCAACCTTGCACATATAGCATCTTTAGTTCTCTTATCTCTGCACCTGTCCTCATTAATTTTTCTTTACTCCGAACACTCTCTTTTTTGGATCAGCTTCTCTGCTCATTAGTGTGTTTTTATTTCCTACATCTCTCATTCTGGTCATTCATCGGCCAGAGATTCCTGTACTCTGCTCATTAAGTCATTCAGCAGTCATTGAGACCTGTCCTTCCTGAGTTCTCTCTTAGCTTAACCATGGCTGAGCATAACAGGAAGTCCCATAATCACAAAACAAAATTCTACCCTCAGATGCTTATGTACAATTTGTATGTAATCCAAGGAAGCCATATGCATTAGGAAAGCAAATAACAGTAGTACCAACATTGTGGGTTTGGGTTTTTGTTCTGAACAATCTGGAATTGAAAGGTACCATATTGGTTAAAAACCACACTGTGTTTCTGGTAAATCTAGACATAATTGCAGTGTGACATTTCTAGATACTATAATGGTGCTGCCATCATCTGAGCTGGGTTCAGTACTGTATTTAAACAGAAAGAAACAAAATGGCTCACTCGAAAAGTAATTCTATAAAAGCAGAGTGTAGTTTTTATCTTGTATTCTTTGTTTTAAAATAGGAACAGATGTCCCAGGTATTAGATGCTATGTTTGAAAAGCTGATTGAAGGAGGGGAGCATGTCATTGATCAAGGTGATGATGGTGACAACTTCTATGTAATTGACAGGTGAGTGATCATGCACAATTGAATCCCAGAGAATTATGCACACTTGTATCAATGAAAATCTATTTTTATATATATTTTTATTTGAATCAGAGGTGTTTGCATGAGAGAGAGCAAATACATATATATTACTCAGTAGAATAGTGACAGAATGAAAGAGAGTAGTGTGTGAAAATACCTAGTTTTCTCTTGTCAGTAATAAAATGTTTGTATTGGAACTCATCACTAGCCTCTTGATTTAATGCTTTGTCACAAAGACTATTTCTTAAACTGAAAGGAGAGTTTAATGCAGGTAATAGCTGGAAAAGAATAGTATTAAATATCTGAAATGTGGTAACTGTACCAGGTACTGCTGGGAAACTTGCTAGTTCACAAAAAATATAAGATGGACTATAAAAGTTACATTTTCAAAGAATTGTACAAGGATCTATACTACTCATGCAGCTCTGATATGGCAGGGATTTAGATAAATAAAATGATACGTTTTACTTTCTCCTGAAAGTTTTTTTTTTTTTTTTTGGAACACCATTTACCTTGATACTGCTGCTCTTTACTTTTGATTAAATTCTCACCAATTTAACAGCATAGATTTTGTTGGCATAGACGCTATCCAGGTTCAGGTGAATAACTTCCATCTTGTACCTTCAGTGTGAAACATGGTACAATGATTTGTGATAGAACTTGCAGTCGGAGATATTAAAACTAGCTTTCTAGACAGAAAAACCTATTTTCTCTACATGTCTCTGAGAATACTGTGGCAGAGTAAAAATTCTTTACTGGAGTCTAAGTTTCACCAGTTTTGCTGGCTTATGTCTTAGACACTTCCTTTTTCAATTGTAGCAGCAACTATACTGAATTCTGTCAGATCCAAGTGGTTACTGTACAACCATCTACAGTGTCCTTTACCATGGAGAAATTGTAGAGATTTGATTCTAACTAACTGCAAACAGTTACAATGTAGATATATTGAACACTGAACATATTAATGGCTTAGGCTCAGAGAGGGTGCTGATGTCACGCTTTCTCAGGGCAAAAACTGTAGGTAACTAATTTTGATGGAAAAAACCCTTTATATTGGACACACATAAAGTACTGTATTTTATTGCACAAAACACACCTCAGAACAAGATACACACCTTGCTTTTGAAAAGGCAGAATGAAGGGGAAAAAATTTCCTTGTAGTAGATGAGTAGCAGCAGCTGTGGAGCTGAGCCTGTGCATTATATTGCTCCTTGTGGGTCATGTGCAGTTACCTTTACTTTTGCCCAGCAAAAGCATAAGGGGCAGAAACTGCCGTTATTGTACTTCTTTTCTTATAATGCACACTTCAGTTTCCAGCAGCTGTTTTTTGAAAGAAAGATGCATGTTGTATGTGAAAAAATACAGTATATTTTTGTAATATTATATTAAACTTTACATTAACTCAATTATATACTACCTCCATTGTGAATATTGCAACTGTACCTTGCACTATACCCAATTAAGACTTTAAGAAATGCTTCAATTTTCAAAGCTATTACATTTTAAATTGATTTACTGGTAGAAGTATAACATTGAGAAATAATTTCTTTATGTGGATTTTATGCATTTATACATATTGGTTAAAATAAAACTTGAGTTCATCTTTATTTTTAATACCATATTTACTCAAATACAAGATGAGTCCTTTCCCCCAGTCAGCATGGAGAAAAAAGCTCCTCATCTTATATATGCATACAAGGACCCTCACTACATACATTGTCTGTCTTTGAACCACTACCAAAGGCAGTATGTGCTCAGCAATGCAAACTAAATAAGAAGTTTAAATACAGCCACACTGAACGTGACTATAAAATGCAGTGCCCATATTGTGAAAGCATGCTGATGGGAACCTACCACAAGGATCGGTCAGTGTACCCCATCTGAATAATATATATGGTAGTGTCCATTGAGTGCAGTCCTCCTCAATACTGACTCTTTCAAGTCAATGTAGTGAGCCATTACATTGCAAATATTTTGACTTCCTCTTCACCCCCATAGCTGAGCTGCATCTTTCATTCTCATTTCCAATGATTCCTGTCTCTTCACCAGCCTTAAATGTCTGTCAGACATCACCAAATTGGAACCCAAACAATTTGCCCAGATTCTGTCTGTTGGCCCCTCTCTCAGCCTGTCACATATGATTATATTGGACACACAGACACACATCAGGTGAAGCCAGACCAGGTTGCCCTGTGCCTCATCTGAATATAAATTTTTGGAGGATCCCAAGAGTCAAGACAAGAACACCAGGTTCCAGTCATGACTGGAGGATAATTAGCACATGGATCCTCTGCGAGGGATATCTGGAGAATACACACATATTGAGCAGTGCTGAGCCATGGATTTTCTTGCTTGAAATCAGAGAATCATAGAAAATTAGGGTTGGAGGGGACCTCAGGACATCATTTAGTCCAACCCATGCTCAAAGCAGGACCATCCCCAACTAGATCATTTCAGCCAAGGCTTTGTCTAGCCTGGTCTTAAAAACCTCCAAGGACGGAGATTGCACCACCTCTCTGGGTAACTTGTTCCAGTGCTTTATTACCCTTCTAGTAAGAAAATTGTTCCTAATATCTGTCCTAAACTTCCCTTGCTGCAACTTGAGCCCATCACTCCTTGTTCCGTCATCTGCCACCACTGAGAACAGTCCAGCTCCATCCTCTTTCAAGCCTCCCTTCAGGTAGTTGAAAGCTGCTATTAAATCCCCTCTGTCTTCTCTTCTCTAGACTAAATAAGCCCAGTTCCCTCAGCCTCTCCTTAGAAGTCATGTGCCCCAGCCCCCTCACCATTTTTGTTGTCCTCTGCTGGACTCTGCAGTTTGTCCACATCCTTTCTGTAGCAGGGGGCCCAAAACTGAACACAGTACTGCAGATGTGGCCTCATGATTGCTGAATAGAGGGGAATAATCACTTCCCTTGACCTGCTGGCAACACTCCTATCAATGCAGTCCAGTATGCCGTAAGCCTCCTTAGCAACAAGGGCACACTGCTGGTTCATATTCAGCTTATTGTCCACTGTAACCCCCATGTCCTTTTCCGCAGAGCTGCTGCCCAACCAGTCAGCCCCCAGCCTATATTGGTGCATGGGACAGTTCCATAACAATTTCTATAACTAAATCTCTATCTGCTTTCCTAATGTCAAATGGGATGTTGGAAAAAACATCTTTTTCCTATCTCCTGCAATGTACAGTACCTGCTATGTCTGTATTAAAGGTAGATTAGGGCTGAACAAAGGTCAAATCTATCAAAAGCTTGCCTTCACCCTACCAACATTTTTGAGGACAAGGTCCTTCCTAGCTGATCCATGAATAGATTCTGATTTTTTACTTTTTCCATCCAAGATTCCAGTCTTCCTTTTCCATCCCAGACTCACGAATTCTACTCTATCTTTCTCTTCTCACTTCCTTGTATCAATATGACCCTGACTAGATGCTTTCCATTGGCTTCTCTCCACATATTTTTTGATTTCCCCCACTCAAACAGCCCATTCTAATTATCTCAGGGGTGGCCAATTACTTCAGCTGGTGGACCACTTAATGAGTTTTGGTGAGCTATCAAGGGCCACACATGTACAATATTTCAAAATGGATATAAGTGCAGGACTTCATACTTGTCCTTGTTGAACCTCATGAGATTTCTTTTGGCCAAATCCTCCAATTTGTGTAAGTCACTCTGAATCCTAGCTTTACCCTCCAGCATATCTACTACTCCCCTCAGCTTGGTATCATCTGCAAACTTGCTGTGGGTGTTCTCTATGCCATCTTCCAGGTCATTGATGAAGATACTGAACAAAACTGGACCCAGGACCAACCCCTGGGGCACTCCACTTGATACCAGCTGCCAACTAGGCATTGAGCCATTGACTACTACCCTCTTAGCCCAGTGCTCCAGCCGGCTTTCTATCCAGCTTACAGTCCATTCATCCAGCCCATACTTCCTTAGCTTGCCTGCGAGAATGCTGTGGGAGACCGTATCAAAAGCCTTGCTATAATCAAGGTACACTACATCCACTGGTCTCCACATCCACAGAGCCAGTCATCTCATCATAGAAGGCAATCAGGTTTCATAGATTTCATAGACGTTAGGGCTGGAAGGGACTTCAAAGATCATCAAGTCCAGCCCCCTGCCTCAGGGGCAGGAAGTCAGCTAGGGTCAAAGGACCCCAGCAAGATAAGCATCCAAATGTTTCTTGAACAAGTCCAGAGTAGGTGCCTGCACCACCTCTGGAGGGAGTCTATTCCAGGTCTTGGGGGCTCGGACAGTAAAGAAAGTTTTTGGTTGGCCAGGCATGACTTGCCTTTGGTGAATCCATGCTGACTTTTCCTGATCCCCATGACTGAGGTGAGGCTGACTGGTCTATAGTTTCCTGGAGCCTCCTTTTTCCTTTTCTTAAAAATGGGCACTATGTTTTCCCTTTTCCAGTCATCTGGGACCTCTCCCGGTTGCCGTGATTTTTCAAAGATGATGGCCAGTTGTTCTACAGTCACATCAGCCAGCTCGCTCAGCACCTTTGGGTGCATCCCGTCTGGCCCCATGGACTTGTACATGTCCAGCTTTTCTAAATAGTCCCTAACCTGTTCTTTCACTACTGTTGGCTGCTTATCTCCTCCCCAAACTGTGCCGTCTGGTGCAGTAATCTGGGAGCTGACCTTGTCTGTGAAGGCTGAGGTGAAAAAGGGCATTGAGTACTTCAGCCTTTTCTGCATCCTCTATCACTAAATGCTGTGGACTCTTCTGGGTCCCAGCCCAGTGAATTATATGGTGAATCATGAGCCTTTTGGCTTTTAACTAATATAATCCATAGTTTGTATTATAAGTAGATGCCAAAATGCTACTTAAAAGTGTATTTATGGAATACCTGTGGTAAAATTTGCAGCAGCTTCAAAGAAGTTAAAATGTATCAATTCTGGATGAACTAAGTCTAGGGGTACTATATGCAAATTACTACAGCTGTGCTTATTTTAAGATCAGTTATTTCAAATTTGCTTCTCTCTTCCATGTGGTTAGGGAGAGCAGGGTCTGACAGTAAGGAAAGGGAGAAAGAGTTGCAGGGGGCAGAGGACATAGAGGTTACCTGACTCCCCAGATTTATTTTCCTTGCTGCAGCAGTGGGAGGGGGGATAAGTTCAAGACAAATCTCCAATAATTAGATTCTCTACCTGGAAAATTATATCAAATATATAAAGTTTCCACATATAGAATCTAATTATTGGGGGGGGGGGGGTCATTTTATAATCTGGGTCATTTTATATTCAAGAAAACACAGAAATTTTCATTTCAATTAGAGCTGTAAATACAATTCTGAACATCAGTTTTTCAGGAAGAACTACCACTCCACCACTAAGAATTGATAATCATTTTGCTTAAAAATATTGACTATTTTAGGGTGTACACAAATGAGTGATGTCTCTGCAAGCTGTTCTCTACCAGTAAAACAAACAAAACCATATTTCCAGAACATTATCTTTGGTGGACTACATAGAGAATAAATTAAAACAAGGTAGTACTGAGTTACTGAATGGCAAGAAGCATACTTACTGTATTTGTGTATTTTGTTAACAGAGGGACATACGATATTTATGTAAAATGTGATGGTGTTGGGAGATGTGTTGGTACCTATGATAACCGTGGAAGCTTTGGTGAGTTGGCTTTAATGTACAATACACCCAGAGCAGCTACGATAATAGCTACCTCTCCTGGTGCTGTATGGGGTCTGGTAAGTGACATACTTGTTTTTACTATTTTTTTATTAAAATGGTTTTATATTTACATAAAATGCCTTAAAACTTGTATGGCAGACAAGTATAGCAGCATTGATTGAAAAAACAGTATAATGTATTGTTTTAAAACGTACTGAGAAAGTCTGGAAAAATACTGTCTGCTCAGGCACTGAATATAACAGCTAAGCAAACCTAAGCATCAGAAGGGTAATTGTAATTTTCTGTAAGAACACCAAGAAAAGTAATACTGGAACCTTCCTAAGTATCTTCTAAGAGTTAGCTATCATTTTTCCAATTGCAGTTTTTCTGGCAATTATTTTACCATGTATTTCTAGATATCACTAAACATGAATGCCTTGGCTACAGTAAAAAACAGTGGTAGCGAACACCAAGTGCTGTTGAGAGGCGTAAAAATTAGCTCTTACTCTCTGTTGTGATCCTAATCTTCGCAGAAAGGTATATAACTCCATCAGTATTCCATATGACCAGTGGCTACGGAAAAAACTCTCCCAGCATTTAACCGAGCAGGCTTGTGGTTAGGGTACTTGCCCAGGCTGTGAAGATTCAGATCTAGGCCCCTTCATACAAAGGATGTTTCAACTTCCCAACAGAATGGCTGACCTGCTGGGTCTTGGGCTATGCAGAGCTAAGAGCATTCCTCCCCCAGGCTGTTGAATCTTCTGCACCTGGCTCAGAAAACATAAACAGCACTGGAGGTAAGTGTCAGGAAGCAGAAGCCATGGCCCCAAACTTTCAAGAGCAGGGCCCAGTTCACTGAGCCACAGAGCCTACAGGCCAGACTCCCTCTAGCCTGCTGTTCTTTCAGTTCCCACATATCTCCCCCCCACTCTTGGCTGCACAATGAACCAGCTTCAAGAGAAGGGTTGAGGGATGCTTTTAGCCCTGCCTAACCCATTGACAGCTGTTTAGGACACTTTGCTGGGAAGTTGGAGATGCAGGTTCAAACCCCATCTAGGTCAGGGAGGTACTTCTTGAGCAAATGCTGTTACCAGTAGGACAAAAGTCTGATGCCTTCCTTCTCCATTTTTCTGTGACTTACATAGAGTTACATACCTTCCCAGCCTGAATAAAATCTAAAATCTGTTAAAGTAGCCCCAAATATTGTTTATATGGCTAACTGTAGCCACATAAGTACTACTTAACTAGGGTGACCATGTGGAGCAATGTGAAATCCGGGACACTGCCCCCTCCCCACTGCCTGCCCCCCAGTGCTCAAGTCAGCAGCGCTGCTGCAGGCAGAGGTGAGGGCAGGGCAGTGTGGTGCAGCTCTGGTGTTATCACTCAAGCTGCTAAGGAAGTTAATGTCTTGTTAATGATCTATTGTTCCTCACTGCACAGGTGTTAACAATCATCTCCCCTTTTTAATGGCCATTCCACTAATCAAGTTAACTTATTTTAGGGCAATTTTGCCTTCTACTAGGGATTCCTATTACACAGTTTGTGCTGCTCTGCTTCCCCACCCCGCAACCAGGATGCTCATTGTAATTTTCTTCAGCCGGCCGGAACCAGCCTTTGAAATCCAGGACTGTCCTGAAAAATGGTGGCAGGGGCACTTTAACTAAAGCTCATCAAACAAGCTTTAGTTAAAGTGCCTCCACTGCCATTTTTCAGCCTGGGGACGCTGATACACATGACACTGGAGTCTACTGCAGCGCAGTAATTACCACACTCCGGCAGACTTGATTAATTGAGCCTGCTCTGATGTGATGTGATTACAGCATGTTGGAGCAAACTCGCTACACATATATAGGCGCCCTGAGGATGCAGACAGAAGTGACAATTTTTGCCCAGTCTGGCCACAGAAAGCAATTTATAGCTGTGACCAAACACAAGTGCACAGCTACAAACAGCTTCAAAAATGGACAGTTGGGTGAAAATCTGACTGCTCATTGCATGAATTATCAGATAAAGATGTTTCAAAATGTAGCTTCTTCTGTAACTTGTCTGCTGAGCTTCCAGCCTGTCCCTGTTTTCAGAATGGGAGAGGAGGAAAGGGTACAGGGAGAGTTCAGTCTGGGGTTTTTCAGTCCCCCCTAAAGGGTGGGGTGGGTATATTGGAGCACCCCCCCTGGGGTGAAGGAGCTCCAATTCACCCACCCCACCCTTCAGCACCGGCTGGGGAGCCCCAAGCATGAGTTCCTTTGGCTGCCTTTCCCCTTCCTGTTCTGAAACCAGCAAGCGCTGGCAGAGAGCCCTAGCTGTTGCTATGGGAATCTGGCTGCAGGCTCCCACCCCATAGCTAGATTCCCCTTCTTCCTGGAACCAGCAGTGAACTTCTGTTTGTTCTGGGGTAACCTTGTAACTCAGAATGCTTTGCAGAAATCGTTTTGAGTTAGCTGGGAGCTGCATTTCTGCCTGTACCCTACAGCTCAACCAGCAGCAGGTGTGCCAGGAAGAAGGGGCAGAGGGTGATTATAAGTATGTTTGATGTTTGAAAGCCTGCCCAAAGACCCTTCCAAGGGAAGGTAAATTCTTAAAAAGGGAATGCAAACGAAAACAAAATTGGGAAGTCACCTGACTTCAAAGATTTCTTATCCAAAAATCAGTATCTGAAATTGTATGATTTCAAATGTTTCAAATGACCCTTTCTAAAAGGAAACTGTTCTTCCGATGCATCTTATTGTTTCTGAGGCACGTAAAATTGCCTTCTAATGATTGATCAGATTAAATATGTATTTATCACCTGTCTCTCATAAGCATTTTCCACCCAGAAAACACTTTCCATTAATACAAGGGTTTTTTTTCCTCTTTGTGTTTACAGGACAGGTTAACGTTCCGGAGAATCATTGTAAAAAACAATGCCAAAAAGAGAAGAATGTATGAAAATTTTATTGAGTCATTGCCATTCCTTAAATCTTTAGAAGTAAGTTTTCTTTTGCATTATTTTAGCAAATGTGTCTGAGCTACATTATGAGCTTCTACTTTTTATGGCTGGGGAGGTTAACTTAGAATAAACTTCCTCTAAACTTTTCACACCTATGTTTTGGAGCAGAATCTTCTTTTTTGGATATTTGTAAAACTGACAAAAACATTGCCCATTTTGGATTCTGTGTAAAGCTTAGTCACACGTTGACTGTAGGGGCAGACCCTGAGCTAGTAGACAACAGGGCATTCCAGAAACAGGGGATCTACCAATGCATATCAACTTGGAGAATGGCTGTACTTGGTAGTATCAGAAGTTTTGGAGCATGAAGACTTTTAATCCAAAAATAGAAGTTCAGTTACCTCACCTGTAAACCAGAAATGTATTATCAGTTATCAGAGGCCTCTTTATCTGTGTTTTGGTAATAATCATAACAAATAGTTAAAGACATAAAATACTGTGTATATAGTCACAGGAACAGGTATTAGACTAGCTACATATTATATTTGTAATATTAGCAGAATATTTCTAATACTGCCTTTTTTATAAAGGTATCAGAACGCTTAAAAGTGGTGGATGTTATAGGCACCAAAGTATACAGTGATGGAGAACAAATCATCGCTCAGGTATAGTAGTTCCCTGTTTGATTTAGTTTTTTGGTCTGTACAACTAAAATTAACTTAAATGCATGGATTTATTATAAATTGTATGTTAAGTTAGTCTGAGTGGCACAAAGGCTATAAACTTGTTGGAAGACTATATAATGTTAAAAATAAATTATAACAATGATTTAAATTTCAATTAATATTTTACTGCGAAATGATTTTGGTGCAAATATTTGGCAAGCTATTTTCGGTTCATTTTCTAGTGGCTTTTCTGTTATTTTGATACTTTTATACTGTGTGTATCTACCATGAGCAGTGTGTGTCTCAGATTTGGTAATGTAATTAATCCTGTCTCTGATAGGTACATTGTTAGATTGTAGGGTTGTGCAAAGCTTTGGTCGGTGATTTGATTTGGAGAAAATTCAGCCCGATTCGGCAGCCAAATCTCCGAATCCAAATCGAATCAGGAACCCCATTAATCTCTCTGAATCAAACCGGAAGCCTCCAGTTAGGAGAGGTTCGATGATTCGGCCATAGACACGGCTTTATATGGTTTTTCTACATACCTTGAGGTACCAGGCGCGGCTCATGAATGCTGAGATGGGAGTGCAGGGGGTCCCCCATGCACTCATCAGCGGACCCAGAAGTGGACCAGAAGTACTTCCGGTCCACTTTCAGGTATGCCGCGGAGCATGCGGAGGACCCCACCCCCACCCCCTGGCTTGGCGACTGGTGCCTCCTGGGTCTGGGGGGGGCACATAGGGTCCCCTCCATGGCTGATCACCGAGCCAGGAGGATGGGGGGGGGTGTCCCCCACACACTTGGCAGCAGACCCAGAAGTGGACTAGAAGTACTTCTGGGTCTGCCCTGAGCGTGCGGGCCCCCCTCCCTCCCATGGGATGCTCTATCTGCCCCACCATTTCAGCATTCACAAGCTGCGTCTGGTACCTCAAGGTACATAGAAAAAACATAGAAAGCTGTGCCTATGGCCGAATAGCTGATTCTTCGAATCGGAATAGAATTTTCAGATTTGATCAAATCAAATCGGGACAGTGATGCAAATCAGCAAACTGAATCACTGTCCCCCAAGTCGGGCCAAATCCAAATTGAATACTGCCCGCTTTGCACACCCCTATTAGATTGTACAATGCTGTAAGTGATGTATGCTAGTTATAGGATGCCTCACCAATGTCTGATAGGCACATTCTTGCTGTTTTTAGCAGTTACTTTTTCATCTGCTCTACTTTAAGAAACATCATTTGTCAGTCAGAATAGAACGAAGTAAACTAGTCTTTCTTTGGTATATTTAGAGAATGTAAATGCTGTAGAGCAGAAGAGACTGTTAATTACACTAACAGGCACAGAGATTTACTTGTCATTCAGTACTGGTTTATATATGCACGTCCTTAGAACTGTGTGAAAATAATTGCATCGATTTAGGCCTCAGGCAATGCAGACTCAGACTCTTCTTCAATTTCTGCTTTTACCCCTTCTGTGCATGGTGATATTCTTGATAATATTCCATTATATTCTTTTCAAGAACAAAATAGCATGGGAAATGGGATAGATCTTTGTAGTTAACTACTTGTAGGCACTGACTCAACTGTTCTCCTATCATCCACTGGGTCAGTTAGCAGCAGCTTGTTTGTTTAAAGAACTGAAGCCATTATCTTTATGCAGATCCCATAGCTGTGTTTTCCTGTGCCTGAGATGGAGCTTTACTTGTGGTTTGTTCATGGTGTAGCAGGACTGGGATCTACATGAAGCATCTCAGGGCCTTTCCTTTAAAGAAAGCTTGTTACTCATTTTTGTATGGACAGTTTAACCATGTTGTGTCCTAATTACAGGCTTCTCAGGAGAAGGTGTTGATATATTTTGCATTGGGTACCAAAAAGTATCATGAGCTACTGACTGCAAACATGTTTTGTATTTCTTACTATTACAACAAAACGAAAAAACAATACCAATGTTTTCATTATCTGCTTTTCTATTTAACAGGGAGACATGGCTGATTGTTTTTTCATTGTAGAATCAGGAGAAGTGAGAATTACAATGAAAAGGAAGGTAAGAGATGCTTAAAGTGGCTTGAATTAAATTTTTAGAAATACTGAAGTTATTAGTACATTTTAAATGTCAAACAGCAGTTGTCTGTAGTTACCAAATCCAGTTTTTTTACTTCTTTGTAAAACTCAATATTCAGCAACTTTCCCTTTTTTCCTATTTTTCTCTAATCTGACCTTTCAGAGCAAACAGGATGCAGAAGAGAATGGGGCAGTTGAAATAGCCCGGTGCTTTAGAGGACAGTATTTTGGAGAACTTGCTCTTGTAACTAACAAACCTCGAGCAGCTTCAGCATTCGCCCTTGGAACTGTCAAGTGCTTAGGTATTAATCCAGTGATATTTTTATTTGCTATGGTTAATATAAAAGGCATTATAACTTAGGAAATGCTGTTTGTTCTGTACTGTCTTCCTTAATATAAAAATCATACTTCAGTCACTCTGGCATTCTCTTGAAGTTGTTGGATTCTTAGAACATACTGTATCTATTAGGGTAAATTGCTGTCTACACTACAAGCATTTTTGTAAGTAACAACTGGTGGTAATCACAGGTTCCCAATTGGTCCATCTTTGGACAGAGGTGAAAATGGCTTTATTCTATTGTAGACAGACATAGCAATCACTTGTAGCACTCTTATTTAAATCTGAAATTTACAGACAAATAAAAAATTGTCCTTGCCCAACCGTTTAACTAGCACCTAAGAAACCAGTGCTCCCTGATGTAACTGACCTTTCATGGTACCAACTCAGCTAATCTTTCCATTTCTGACTAATGCAGTTACTCACATACCACATGCAAACTTCTCTGTATAATCAGCCTCCAAAATTGGGGCACATATCTAAAGTGGGGAAGCTGATTTTTCTTCACTGGAATGGAAGCATGCACCCACTCTGTTCTGATGGCTGTCATTTCTCTGTGGCCCAGCAAGCAGAAGGGGCAGGGTCTACACTTGATCTGGGCCAAGAGGCCGAGATGTTAATCCTCTCATAGCCACTAAGAATTTGCAGTAGCTATTGACTGAGCACTGGCTTGTACCTGTAGAAGCAGTTGAGCTGGCTCAGGGCAAGTGAGCTGCTGCATGCAGTCTGTAGTATCCTGATGAGGCTTGTGGTGTAGAAACACTTTATTATTTACAGGAAGTTTTATTTAGAAAGAACTATTTATAGTAAAGAGGTAATACTCTTGCCACTGCCCTTGTGAGGGGCTGAGCTTTGTTGCTGTCCTGTCACATCAAGAAGTTCCTGCTGCCTCATAGATAGTCTCCTGGGATGCCAAACTTCTGGAAACTCTATGTTCATGACCAGGTGTTCATTTCTAGTTAGAAATTTCTAAGCAATACCATCACTAGAAATATTTCTGGGAGAGGAAGCAGTACAGGCATTCAACCGGCAGCCACCCCCTCTCTGCTGTTCCTTGTGTTTTCCTGAGACTTGGATGATCCCAGTCTGAGGAAGGCGTGGGGAGCAGGGCTATTCCACTCCCATTTCTGGGGTGGGGAATGAAGTGGCAGGGAAAGGCTCCCTGGGCTTCCCCAGACTGGGGACACCCGGTCCTATAGGTCAGTCCAGGAGGGGAGTGGAGCAGTGGAGCAAAGTCTGTAGCTGGTTCCCCAGGCCAGGCAGTCCTGTGTCTGGGGAGCACAAGGAATATTGACCTACTGCCTCAAGAAGAGGTTCTCCAGCCAGGTGGGCAGAACACATGGCATTTAAAGCCCACGGGGCCAGGTGGCTGCTGCACCCCTCATCCCAGCTCAACCTGGAGAGAAGGGGAGAGTGGGGCAGAGCCCCCGCCTGTTCCCCAAACTGGCCGGTTCCTGGTCTGGGGAAGAGTCAGGAAGCCATGCCCTGCTGCTCCGCTCCCTTCCCAAATCAGACAGAGAGGAATGTACAAGCGTTCACTCTTCTGAGAGAGTTTTCTCACAAGGGAGATTTTCCAGGTTGGCACCTGGAAAATCCCTCTCCCAGAAGTAACATATTTCCTCTAGGAGAAAAAGGTGATGAGGAGAAAGAAGTGCTGTTATAATACTGTACAATGTGGACATTTCTCAATTGGTGTAAGAACATCCTAAGCCAGATGAAGTTAATCATTATAACACTCTTCTCACAAAGCTTCAGGGATTTCTTTTAGTCCCTTTAAAATCACACCTTTAAACAAAATGGTGCAACTTTTATGTGCAGATCAAGCTGTTAAAAATTTTTAATGAATCCATTTCCTAATAGAGATTCTACATTAGGGAAGTAGAAGTGTTTATCATCGTGTAATTAAATGGATTTTATTATATATCTGAATGATTGATTATTGCTAATCCATTACACGATGGATACAGTTCTGATTGTAAAATCATAGGGACATGGACATTTTGCTTTATCTGTCTGTAAAGCACTATGCAAACTTATTTCTGTTACTTACACAATATCATATCAGTTACAAAATTAACACTTAAAATTAGTGCCTGGTACTGCAGCTGTGAATGACAGATTTTTATTGTTAGTACAAAGCAGTATTTGAAGCAAAGGCACTCAGATATGTTTTAGTTCCAGCAACTTTTAAAAAAGAGAAAAGAAGGAATGACAATAAATACAACAGAAAAAGTTTTAATTAGAAAGCTGCACAAATTACTGGCTAAAGTAGCAACAACTTTGGCATATTCTGTTTTATTTAGTGAATTGTTCTGTTTGGTGTGGCGTTTGTTTTAGATTTTACATTTAACTAAAAGAGCAGGTATAACTATTGTGATACATAAATTGCTCAAGTAAAGGACACGATCTTAAGGAACCATGCATTTATAGCAAAACTTATGCTTTATAGACTTGTAGGGAGACCTAGGTGATGAAAATGCTGAGTTTTTCTGGATATATACTTATTAGTTTATATGGTCAAAAATACGTTTTTAGTACTAACTAAGCACAATTTTCACAGTTAGCTCTATAATGATTGGAAGGTAAAGCTTCTTAAACCAAAAAAGAAATGGAATAATGCTTTGTGGGGTTTTTTGTTTTTTTTAATTCTCCAGAATAACTCGTTAGTTAAGCCCACATGGTTAACTATCTTCTAAAGCAGCCTGCAATTCCATGATCCTGCAAAGGCTTATGCACTGATTTCAGTAGAACTATTTCTAATGCTGAAATAAAGCATATGCGTGAGCCTTTGCAAGATTGGGGCTGAGGTGCTGCTTAGGACCAAATATTACGAGAAAAGTCACTTCTACTCTATGCTGACACACTATGGGCATCACTAATTGTTCCCATTACAATGTAAAATTCTGCACAGTTAATTTTATAAACTCAAAAATTCATTTCTGCAGCTGATGGCCACATTATATTCTTTTTCTCTTTCTCTCCCCTTTTATCTTAGTTATGGATGTGCAGGCATTTGAAAGGCTTTTGGGACCTTGTATGGAAATTATGAAAAGAAACATTGCAAACTATGAGGAGCAGCTAGTTGCTCTTTTTGGAACAAACATGGACATTGCTGATCCCAGTGCATGAACTGAAGTGTGGACCAACAAGATCTGATATGAGAAAATAGCACAGTAGTGGTTAGTCCACTGATAAAGTCTCTCTTCCTGTAGATGCCAGGCATTTTCTGTAACTTTAGGGTTGGGAATATTTTTTGTTTTGTTTTGTCACTTTACAATAGACAGATTGGTAAGCAAAATAGGGATTTATTAACCTCCGAGCCTGATTTTCAGGATGACTTAGCACTAGCAGTTCAATTTGAATTGAGAGGAGCTGTAGCAGTACAGCACCTTGGAAAATCAGGTCCTTTATACACAGATTTAAGAAATCCACATGTGGTGAATTTATTAAACCAGCTTTTCATCTATTGAATGGTTAAGATTTTTTTGGAAGACTGTTGGTTTGAGTGTGATATGTTGAAAGTATTAGTGCACACAAAACGTTCATAAGTATTCATAATATAGAAGATACACAGTGGATGTTCATGTCTGCCTATTAAAACTGTCATGATACTATACTGTATTTATGACAGATGTATAGAAAAGGAATACCACAAACCTCCTTATACAATAAAGCATGACAGTACATTTTATGTAAAGTTCATGACCTGTCTGATTTTAACATTTTTTTGATTTGTTAAAAGTCCTCTTTTTTAATATGCCACATTTCAGTAAGCCTGTTAGGAAGGTATTGTAATATCTTATGCAATTTAGAGGACTTGTATATTTTTGCAATAAATTGCATTTTTTATTTGCCACACACACACACACACACACACACACACACACACACACACACTTTTGAGGAAGCTCATAAGTTAATTGTGATGTGAGTATATTCTTCAAAGCAAAAGCAAAAAGATTTTGCCTAGGCATAGGTAGTTCTCACTCTCTACTTAATCATGCATACATAACAAACATCGGTTTCCTTCCAATTTCTTGTTTTATATTTTATGCATTTTGTCTTTCCCCCATGTGTTTTGTACTCTAGTCTTGATTTACCTTTTGGGACCTCACTTTTATTTTTCTCCATCAAATCTTTCCCCTGTTTCAAATCAAGTGATTTCTGCACATCTCTCTTCTTAGATTTAGACATAGTAGGTATGACAGATAAAATGAATTGATGTTGAAAGCTATGCTAAACTAAGCACGCTCTTGGAAATCCTTACTAGCAAATACAAAAAAGAATTTGAATCTGAAAGATC